AGTCATGTGGTACCAGATCCGGTGACTAAGGTGGATGAGGACACAATGTCATATTCTTCAGAGCTGCCTTTCCATTGGGTGGCGTTCGGTAGCAACACTCACTGTAGTTTTGACCCCACCTCCTCAATAGGATATGTTTGAAGTGGACGGAATATTGTGAGGGGGACGCATGGCCCTGTGTCCTTTACTGTAATACTTCTTAATTTAAACATTCACATATTTTATTTAAAGCCTGTACATTGATCATGGCAATCTAGGAAATTTAGAAAGGCAAATTTAAATTTCAGACAGTCCTTGTGTGAATTTCCGCTGGACTCTATCTTCGGATATTTGATGGCCCGGCTTCAGTGTGGGTCTGACTAAGGGGCTGGGGAATCTGTCCGCACAAAGCTAACACCTGCAGGAGGACCCCACTCCCAGGCTGCCACATGTTTTAGGCCGGCTCCAGGTAACCTGTCTACCTGAAACATCCCACAGGCTGTGCACACTGCTGCCACCGCGCATTGCTCAGGAGCGCAGGCAGGGACAGGTCTGCGCATGTGCAGCCCACAGCACCCCACAGGTCTAACTGCAGAATTCCGGGCAGAGCAGGGCGCAGGGCGCAGGGCGCAGGGGGTCCTGGCGAACACGCGGTGAGGTTGCAGCCCGCCTCGCCCTCCCCTCCCTTGGTTCCCTGGATTCTGTACAGTGTGAGGCGAGCAGAGCTTTCCTGCTGGAATCTGGGGAGATTTCTGGGATTTTTCGAACACTCTCAATCTGCAGGAGGCTGAGTCTTCGGGGAGGGGATGCAACTTCCTGCTCCCTGCGCCCACTCGTGTGTGCCCGAGTCTGCAAACTTCAACCTCAGTGCCCAACAAGCCAGGCTCCTCGCTTCCTCCGAGCTGCCCTCGCATCTGTTGCTGGCTCTCAGTGGGAAATCCTGCTGCAAAGACCTCCCAGAGGTATCCAGGAAAAAACCCACTGCCAGAAACTGCCCTCTGCTCAGCACCTGCGCTGTGCCTCTGACACCAATGTCCCCCTCCCTGCCCAGCACCCCCAGGCCCTTCCTCTGCTGTGCACTTGCCCCAGGCGCCTACACCCAAGCCAGGACACGGGGCTGCTCTGTTCAAAATCTTAGGAGGAAGTCGCTGACTCAGGAGAAACCCAGTCCCCTGATCCACAAGGTCCCTCACGGTGCGGCCGTGCCACCTCGGCCTTGTCCTGGCCATGCCCCTCTGTCCACCTGCTGCAGCCACACTGGCCTCGCTGCTTGCTGGCACAGCCTCAGCCTATGGCATCTGCCCCTCTGTTGCACGTCTCCCCCGCCAGGTATCCCTTGAGTCTTGCAGCCTCTGTGTCTGCCCAGACCTTGCTTTCTTGAAGGAGCAGGTCCCAGCCACCAAGCACAGCCTGCAAAGCCCAGCCCAGCCCTGCTGCTCTACAACACACTTCCTGCCCTGCAAGGGGAACAAGCCCTGCATGAGGTAGCTTTTTCCATTTTTTATTTGGGAGTCTTTCCTTGGGAAGGAGCAGCAACTTTTATACTACACTTGGGGTGCTTAAAAAGGGGCTCCGGAAAATAAACCCTTTAACTGATTCTTTCCTAAAACCAGAGTCTTCTTTTAGGTCCATATTCGTCTGAGTTGGTTTCTGCCACTTCGAAAGGGTGCAGCTTGACCCACTGACGTGCGCTGGTCCAGACAGTTTGAACACAAACATGTACACTTCAGATGGACTTTGCTTGAATTTGTGTCTCCTAAAAATCAGTATTAAGATATTTGTGCCACTGTATCTAATAATCCTGCTGCTGGCAATTTTCTAGAGGTAATGAATCTTAAAAGCTGACAAAGACCAATGCATAAAGGAGGTCACTGGCTCCAGAGTCTAGAATGTGCAAACGTTAGAAATCAATGAAATGGTTAGCCCTGGAGCCTACATTTTCAAAATCTGCATTTTTAAGAAATGCTCACAGATCTCTGGGGACCCCAGGACCATGTGGGGGGTTCTGTAACAACAAAAGTCTTTCCATTCTAACCCTGAGACATTGTTTGCACCAATGTAAGGTTAGTGATCGAGACGCCTGGGGCCTGGAACGGTCACAGCAGCGGAGCAGTGCAGGCCCTCACTTCACTGCTCACCACCACACACTCTGAGGCGCTTGTTTGTTTTTAAGGCCAGTTCCACCTAAGAACTCTTGATAAAAATGATACTTTTATTGATTACCGAGTCCCCGCCCTCTCATGGTCTGTGGAAGGAAGTGGGAAGGGTGAGCAGAGCACCCTCCTCCAAGCAGGACAACGGTCAGAAGCAAGGTGCTCGCCATCCGAGCTGCAAGCCACTGACCGCTCTTTCCACAGAGGCCCACCTTTCCCCTCCTGAGAGTGTCGGGCTAAACCCCGGCGGCAGACGTGTGTGTTTGGCAGACGTTTTCTCGACAGAGAGAAACACGGATGTGCTGCTCCTGGCATCATAATAGACGATATTTGTGGCGAGTGAGAAATTCACACTTTCGAGTGAAAAAATAAATAAATACATAAAAACCAACAGAATTTTATGGAACTTGTGTCTGCTCCTGGGAGAGCAGGGAGGTAGCTAGGCGCATCCACACAAGGAAAGTCCAGCAGCTGAGCCCAGGGAGAGAGTTCTGTCAGAAGACGGTGGTCTAAGCTTCCTGAGTTTGAGGCCTCAAGATTTCCTGAGAAAGGCGCACCAAGCCCCCTCTCCTGTGCCCTCACCCGCAGCCTCGTGTCTGTGGAGCCGTCGTGGTCATACCTAGGGCTTCTCAGGCCCTGAGCTGGCCCACGATGGCCAAGCCTGCCCCGTTAGGCCTTATTTGTGTACACTGCCTTGAGGTTCACCTTTCCCTAACGCGCTCTGGTGCCCTTGCCTGTTCCAATTAAGACTTAGAAGTTCAAAACTCCCGCTCCTGACCTCTGGGTGGAGACTCCCAGGTGACTGGAAAACGTCACTAGTTACCACCCCTGACCGCTCTCCGTACTCTAGGAAAACAAAAGGGACTGTTAACTGTCCTTGCTAATAAAAGTTAGCCTTGTTTAGACAGTACTGTGCCCGTCGCTCAGTGACCAGGCTTGCTGAACCTGCTACTCCCTGAGTACGAATTACGTTCTGTAGACTTCCTTGCAACTTTTCTCTGGGAAGATCCACGAGCTGAGAGGTTGACACAACGCACATCCTCCCTCAGCCCTGCCTGGTCCCCAGTTCCAGTGACACAATGCTGAGCTTGACAAGCTGACAATATCTAAGACTTCTGAAGGAGATCATAATAATATTAATAAATGTACGATTTTGATAGTATGTAATAAATTATGTTAATATTTGGAAGAGCTGCATAATTCAGTGAACCAACCATTGATCACTAGTTTCCAAACGATCAGCCTACCAAGTTATATAATTATGTGTAGGTAGAACAATCATGCAGGAGGGTGATAGTCGGTGACTTTTAAGAAAGCAAAGTCAGAACAATCATTAACATGGCTTCCGGTTCTCCACTGAAACTTATCTGTAAAGGCAACCATGTTTTAATTCTATGCATAGCGCTGAGCTCTACTGGGTATTTCCTGCTTTATTTACATGATTTATGTGATTTGCTTCCACTGATTGGAACAAAATCTCAGTGACAGAAAGGGGCCTGTCCATCCTTGTCACTGCTTCCCCAGGGCTCGGTAGCTGGCACCCAGCCTGAAGCAGATGCCCCATGAATGATGCTTAAAGAAATAAGCCCAACCACAAGATGAACTTGTATGGAGCTATTACGAGTCTGATTTACCAAGAATCTGTAAATATCTGAGAAAATTCCTCAGGGATGTGGTAATTTGAGAAAGATTCCAACTATTTCAGCGCAGGTATATCTAAGATATAAAGCATAAGAGGTGTTCCACACCAACACTTAACAAGTACATTACTTCTGTGTGTGCTTGCGTGTTCCTACAGAAAGGAGACTAACAAGGTCTATGGGAAAGAAGTTGGGTGCGACCATGGGAAAGGCATCGTGCGTGTCACCCGGGCATTAAAAGAAGACCCCCTGCACCTGGGTGATTACTTGGGCAGCTGAGGTAGGCAGCTCAGAGGGCTGGAGGCTGCTTATACAGATTTGGAGAAGTGCTTTATAATAGATTTAGAATGATTACAACTATTTTCATGGTGTACTTCATATAGATTATCTACAAAGCTGAAATTTTTTCTTTTATATTCAGCTAAGGAAACTGACTTGGGAGTTGAAGACTCGGTTCTCCTAGGATCTGCTCCCCTAGAGCCGCATGTCCTTGGGTGCACCTGCCGCTTTCCTGGCCTTTGGAGGTACAAAGATTGGGGTTGGGCTGCACAGTCTCCAAGGTTCATCCTGACCTTGAGCCACAGATTTTTTTTCTGGAGAGGACACATGTCATTACTGTACCATTAGGGGCCTGGCCCTTCTGGCTATGAACTCCCAAACCAGGTTCAACTGTGGTACCTGGGCATAGAACATTCAACATGGAGGCACATGCTGCCCAGTGTCAGCGTGGGTTTGAGCCCCAGGAAGGATGCACTTGCCTGTGTTGGTCCCACATCCTAGACCCCAGCCTAGATAGAAACCACAGTTCCTTGGAGCCAGATTTCTGTGCTGCTACTCTGCCACAATGAAGTCTTCATCTGCTCCAAAACATCTCCTCCAGCTAGGTTCTAGAAGAATTCCATTTGTGTCGTCTTCAGAAATGCAAAATATATGGTTTGAAGGGATCTGACAGACAACTAGCTAACAAGCCAGCGACGAGATCCTTTTCTCTATGGTAGTGTTGTTCTAACCCATGTTCTCTGGAAAAACCACAAGCCACGAATTCCCATGGATGGGAAGCAAAACCACCTGCAGGAGGATGCAGTTGTACGAACCTTACACACCTGCCCTCCCTCTGTCTTCAACTATCCTGCCCCAGTGCTAGGTCTGCGCTGGCCCCACTCCCAGTGGCTGTGTGGCAGCGGCTGTGTGGCGATCAGTGTGGGCACAGGGAGGAGGGCAGGATTACCTTTCACCGTCACGTGGACACTCTGGCTGGTGGAGAGCTGTGGCTGAACCAACACATTGCACGTGTATTCGCCCTCATCAACTTCTTTTTGTACATCCGAGAGCTTTAGAGTTCCATTGTTCTCAAATGCCACCTGGCGGTGGTTAAAAGGAAGCAGATTAGAGTTCTTGTACCATTTGATGGAGTAATACGGGTAGCCAATCACACGACAGTGAATGTATGTGTCCCGTCCTGCTATTGCTGTGATATTTTTCATTGGTCGAATGCTGGCAGGCCCTGGAGAGACATAAAGAAACTCTTGAAAATAATTTAAGGGTACATCTCACGTGGGGAAATGGGTATGCTTTTCCTTAGTTATTAACATAGATCATTTTCATGTAAGCTCATCTTTTTCAGTTAAATACAATTTTAGGCACTTGGCATTTTCTACTGCAACATTTTTCTTTTGTTACTTTCGAATGAACTGAATGAATGTTTAAAACTTTCACCACCTATGACTTCTATTGAGATATTTTGAATCATGAGATCAAAGGCAATTTATCAAAAAGAAAGGTAATTCTTCCACACCGCATGACCATATTCTCCGTGTGAGGACTGTGGTCGCATCGTCGAAGACGACGATGGCGGTTACACCACCCTGCACGAAGAGTGTGAGTTAAAGACGATGTACATGAAGGCTTCCCGTGGATGAAGTGGGACAGAAAGAAGGCGAAAGGGAAGGACATGCAGAGCATAAACCAGGAGAGGAAAGATCGAGTGGACAAGTCGGAGAGGAGAGAGAGAGAACAAGCTGACTACGGAACCAACCAAAATGCCACTTCCAGCATTAACCCAATCGGTGCCATTCCCAGAAGGAAGGAGAGGGCGGGACATGGGGGGCGACAGTTACTCCATCTGGCATTCCAGGACTCAGCTCGAGCATGCAGAACCCTTCTCCACTACAATGAGTTATGTGTGTTTTTCGAGGAGCTGATTTGACAAGCACCTCTTACGTTTATTCGAGCCTGGTACAGGACGACTCCCGCAGAGTTGTTGGCCGTGCAGCGGTAAACGCCCCCATCCCGGACCTGGGAGCTGGAGATGTTCAGGTAGCTGACCACGTTCCCCTCAGACGTGATCATCTGGCTGATGCGGTGACCGCCGCCCTTGAGGATTGGGTCGTCGTCCAGGGTCCATGTGATGGTGGGCAAGGGAGTCCCCTTCACGTTGCACATGAGGGACACTGGTTCGGCGGGGCTCACCACTTTTTCACTGAAGGCAGAAATGATTTTGGGAGTCCCATCTGCAAGGAAAAAAAATGATGAGAGGAAGTGGTCTACACACATCATGGAACAACTGCGGAGGACATCTGCTGTGCGCGGGGGGACACACGGCAGTGGGAAGCCTGGTTCCATGGGCTGTACTGCCTGGGCTCTCACTGTTTTCACAACAGGAATACAGCATTGGCGAGCTTTGGCTAAGCACGTGGCTCTGACTGTTAACAAGAGGAACAAGGACACAGCCTTTAGGCTCATGCTAAAGTCTCCAGTTCAGGTTTGTCCATCCCCACCCAGAGTTACAGCCCCCGGGGGATCTGCACACCAGCAGACACACAGTTTGGCTTTCAACTTCTCTCCAGTGATTCAGGGATTTTTGACCACTCTGGGGATAGAAGAGTAGAGAAAACCACTGGGGGTCTGGTGAGCTCATCACTGTCACTTTCTCTCTTTTATAGATTTAATCACAAATGGTGCTTGTTTGCACAAGTCTGTGCAGTTGTCGACCAGGAGGAGAAGCTAAGCACTGTATAGCCTGGCCCTTCTGTCCTGTGTCAACTATCTCTAAGTGTCATATGTAAGGTGTCCATAAAATTTATCATCCAGCTTGGAATGCTTTTGAAAGCGTATTACTAAATAACTGTGCCAAGACAGGAGGAGGAAGCCGGAATCCAACAAGGCAAACTAGGACCTCTGCCTTGGAGAAATTACCACCTGAATTTCCAATGCTTAGCAACAATCACGTGCTCCTATTTCATTATTTCTCTGTCACACGTGTCAGCTGTTTCTCTCATTGTATGGCCATAATTGCACATACATGTTTCTTTTCCTTATATGACTTTTCATTGAAAGAAAAATGAGACATGGACATCTTAAAGGAAATGTGTGAAGTCAAGCAAAGAAAAAGTCATCAATGGGCATTCCAGCCTCAGCAAGCAGATCCACACAGGGACACTTTCCAGGTATAAGTGGGCCATTTTGACATCACTGTAATCATATGCAACAATATTTCTGAATCTGGTGATAAAACTTGCTAGTTTAAATCCATCTCTTTCTGTGTCTGTCTGTCTGCCTGTCTGTCTCATGCACAATTACAAGGCTGGTCCCACGACGAAAGGTATTGATGAACAGGTTTTGTTTTATAAAAGTATTTTCTGTTTATTCTGGAACAACCCGACAGCATAGACACACAAAAAGAAGGGTAAGACTCAGCGTTGCTTGCAAATCCATCAGAGAAATATAGCTGCCAACAGATTTAAACTCCCCAAGGAAACTCACTCATCGCCCCACAACCCCGAGGCTCCATTCTGAGGCTCCATTCTGAGGCCGTGGGATCCCTGCCTGGTGGGCGGGGCACGGCCCCCAGCTCCGCCTCCTTCACGCGGGCGTCCTCACTTCTGCACCCCCTGGTGCTTGCAAGGCCGGAGGAGGCGCTCACGGCGTGTTTGTTCCCCCAGTGCACTCGTAGGCACCCCACTGTGGTGTCTGTGGACAGAAAACACTGTTCTTTCACTACCACAGATGAAAAAAGAACTTCAGGAAGGTTAAAATGAAAGAACTGTGCTTTTGTTCTTTGATGCACGTGGGCATTAGATAGGGCCTCACCGCGCTGAGCGTTGGATCTCGCAGAGCAGTCAGGTGGCCTGTGAGGGTCACGCTTCGAACAGAGCCGTCATGAATGCGTGGGTAGACAGACAACATGCAATTCGTCTTTACAAGTCTACCTGTCCTGTAAGTAAGCCATGTTTAGCTGTAAATTTCTCTGCACTGATTTCTTTCTTTCTTGTTTTTCGGATTTGGTTTTTTGAGACAAGGTCTCTTTATGCAGTTCAGTCTGGCCTTGAACTCTCTATGTAGCCCAGCTTCAAACTTGTGGCAGTCCTCCTGCCTCAGCGTCCTGAGTTCTGGAACTACAAGCATGTGCCACCATGCTAAGCTATGCCCTGATTTCTATACTACAAACCGTGAAAACCCAAATGTTTTTTATCTGCTTAGGAAATAATTCTTCACTTATACTATTTCCTTTTGTCAGGATTATGTATATACTATGTGTGGTGTATATTATATGTTCTTAATCAAAACTACTAAAAGTTGAAATTGCAGAACTTTATGTTAATTTATACTTTGTTTTTGTTTTTTTTTCCGGTACCAGGAATCGAACTCATGACCTTGCACTTGCCAGGCAGGCCCTGTGCCGCTGAGCTAAATCCCCAGCCCCTAGAACTGTATGTTAAATATGGATGTCTTGGGGGCTGGGGATTTAGCTCAGCGGCAAAAGCACCTGCCTGCAAGCGCAAGGTCGTGAGTTCGATTCCCGGTACTGGAGAAAAACCAAAAAAAAAAAAAAAAAAAAAAATGGATGTCTTGCCACAGAGAGTTTCAAATAATTTAAATCATTCTCTTTTGTGTTATTACCTCTATCTATGTTATAAACTCTATAATAGTATTATAATTTTCTGATCCACTAATTTTTGCTCAGAAAAGAGAAAAATCTTTTGCTGCATGCTGACCCTTGGGGCTTGCTGGCGTTCTTTATTCCTGGCTGTCAGGGTTTCCACACTGTGCCCTTTCCTCCCTCTGCGCGCTGTGACTTTACGTTCCTTCTGTGCTGGAACCCAGCTTCAGAGCCTTTCACCTTTGCGGTCTTGAAAATATCCTGATTTTGCCTGATTTTCAGAAGCTCATTTTTGCTTCTGCAGCCCACGTGGGCAGGGTACTTTGTTTTCTTTTTCAGGGTCACTCCCTGTGGTCCTCTCCAGTCCCGGGAGGTGCCTGTTGCACTGGATGCCGTCTCGTGAGCCTCCCTCACACGGAGAAGACCCTCGCCTGCTCTCTGTCCCCAGCAGCGTGACTCTGTGAGCCTGCATGTCATTTTCTTTGTCTTCCTTTCACGAGATTTTGCTGAGATTTTTAGAATGGCAGCTTTATTTTTTATATCAAATTTGAGGAGATGGTGGCCTTATTTCTTCGAAGATGGTTTGATTGCCCATCTCCCCCTCCTGTTTTTATGGACCTGGGACCATGTCCGTTCGATGACCCCGCTCGGCCCCGGCATCTCTGCGGTCAGTCTCCCTCCCTGATTCAGGATGGACAATTTCTTTCCACCTTCTGCAAGCTCCTTTCTTCTTCCTTCTCCACGGCTGCCTGCCAGCCCGACGGTGAGATTTCCATCTGTATGCAGTTATTTCACAGCCTCCATTTCCCTGCTGGCCTTTCTCACATGGTCACTCCTTCTGTCCGTGTTTCTTTTGCCTCCCTGGACATGGGCCTGAACTGGCACCATGAGTCCTGTCCTGTGATGCCAACACCCGGGTCCTCCGCAGGTTCCTTTCTCTGGTGCGCTTTGCTTTTCCGGAGCTGGTCACAGAGCCCTGTCATTTGCTCGTCTGTTCTCGTTGCTGTCTTAAGTCCAGTTGTTTTTCTCCTGGAGACTTGGATCCCTGCACATTTTTGCAGGGCAGGCATCGCAGGATGAGGCTGACACCGTCCTTTCTGGGACCTGGGCCCTCCTGCAGGCCGCGGCTCTCTGGTGTCCTAGCTGTCTTCTCTCATCTGAATCTTGAAGGACTCCACCCTTTGCTTCTCTTTGGCTTCTCCTTCCTGCCACGTGAGCCTTTGGAGTGTGCTGGGGAGGCGAATCAACGTGGACATCACAACCTTTTCCTTCCTTCCGGTTCAGATCCATCTGTCTGGTTGCAGAATCTGCACATCGCCTTTTTCTTCCCAGAGCTCCCAACACTACTTTGCTTGCATCCTGGTATCATTTCCAGAACAAGCCTATTATTCTTACTTTTGATTATTCTCTTTTCTAAGTAGCTTGGTTTTGTCTGGCTGCGGTTTTTGCAGCCTCCTGGAAGAGTCCCTCAGCTCAGTGGTCGCGAGTCCAGCACGGCACTGTGGATTTCCACCCTTTTATTTTCAGCCACAGCCATTTCTGTGGGGACAGTGGACGACCTGCTCAGAAGGTACTGGTTAGACAGAGTTTTACAGCAGGCACGAGGCACTTATTTGTAATTCCAGTCTTCTCTCTTTTGCTACATTAGCACTGTCATCTCTCAGAAGACAGAAAAATAAAATGAAGCTTCTCGTCCTGAATGGAAACTGATGTGTGACAAATAAATCAGAGTGCGTGCTCGGTGTGGCCCTGCTCCCTCTTTGTTTAAGCCACGGCTTCTCTGGAGATGAAAGCTGACGCGGTTTTCCCGGCGAGACCCAGGTGTCTTTGAAATCCTCCATGCTGTCACTCTCTGATACCCCGAACCTTTCAGCACCATTAGGGATTATCAATATGCGCTTAGGTTTTCTTAGTCACTGCAGATGCTGAAGGTTGCCAAGGCAACAACAGGCCCAGGCACTCTGTCTTACGAAGAATCTAAAAATAGCAACTCTGTAAGGACTGGAATGCATCGTCATTAGCGACCTGGCTGGGTACAAATCGATCATTTTCTGCACTTAATCATTACATGCAATGCAGCGTCGGGCATTGAATCTGGGCAGGACGCCTTCAGCTAAGTTCACCTCTACTTCAGAATCCTGCAACCAGATGCTTCAGTCAAGGTAGGAGTCTCACTGAGAAGCCAGCTGCCTCTTAAAAATTAGCTGAGGTTAAAAAAGCCGAAGACAAACAGCCGCTTAGCATGAGACGTGGTTAAACCTACTTTAAGACACAACTGGGTTTTATTTACTCTCTCTTTGGACTACCTGAAAATCATTTCATTATTTTAATAGATTGATAACAGATGAATGGTAAATGATATCTAATGACAGTATTTCCAACCAGACACCCAAATGCACACACAGAAGCTAGTGCAATTATCTGGTGATAAATACCTGTCTTTCTTAAATGTTACCTGTCACATCGTCTTCCCCCAGCTGAGGAGCTAGAAGATTTGAATATGCAGTAGCCATTTCAGAAAAGGGACGGCATGGCACACCGCAAGCCTGCATGCAACTGTGCCACAAGACAGCTCCTCCTCTGCTCCAGGCACTGAAGTCTGTGAATTCCTGCACCCCCCTGCCAAGTTATGTTTCTCAACAGTGGGTGCTCCCTTCCTGGCCCCCGCTCCAGGGACACTGGCCACATCTGGTCATATTTTTGATGGCCACAACCGGGAAGGGGAGCCCCTGGCATCTGGTGGGCAGAGGAGGTCAGAGTGGCTGCTGCGGCAAACATCTCACAGGCATCATTGAGAAGCTCAGGGCTGGGGAAGAGGAAATGTCAACAAGCCCCGAGTGTCAAGAGTCTGCGGTTTCTCTCCGGACAAGTGACTCTTGACACGAGTGGGTGACATTCGGGTGACTTCCAGCATGCTGCACTTGAACTCTCATCAGAACGCACTCCCTCTGCCTGACTCAGCCTGGAGAGTTCGGCTGAGCTAGGAACAGGAGAGGCCGAGGGGACACGCGTGCTGCACTCAGCACGGCCGGGTCAGACATCCCTCTCCCAGGGCCCACTGACCTTCGAGCACCACCTGGACATAGTCTTGAGCGGACAGCTTGTCCCTGCGCACAAAGCACTGGTATGCGCCCCCGTCGCTTTTGACCATGTGATCCATGATAAGGTTTTCGTGGTTGATCCCTGTGATCCTCACGTTTTTCCCCGGGTTGAGGATTTCGCCGTTTCGGTACCAGGACAGTTCCTGGTCCTCGGTTCCTGTCACGCTGCAGGACAAGGACACCTGGCTGCCCACGCTGCTTTTCACCTTCCTGGGACTGATGGCAGCTTTCAGTGGCTCTGGAGAGGGCGGGAGACAGGAAAACAAGGCAAAACCATCATCAGAGAGCACCTCCACACACGCTGGATTCTCAATACGTGCTTGGGTTAGAATGATTTTCTAGTGCACCGTTTTGGGGGGGACACCCTCTTTGCTATGTGTTCCAGTCAGTAACAACTAGACCAGCACTTGTCAGACTGCTCTCTCAGCGAGTGCATGGTGGATGGTGGCTCTGACCCTGCACAGTAAGAACTGTGACGTCCTAGCTACCAGAAAGGACACAGGCACACGAGCATGAAAGTCCCACCTGCCTTGTCCTGAGGAAAGACGAAGGGCTGACCCTCATCTAATCTCAGACACACTTAGATTCACATCTGTGCTCATGGGGCTCAACCTGGGTCTCTAACACCTGAGAGACCCAAACTGATGTGAAGATGACGCCCATACGATGCAGCTCTTCTCCAAGACAGGGCAAGATGATCAGAGAGGGGTGGCACGCTCATTCTTGAATTCTCATGTTTTCAATCAACAAATCTAATTCAGTGTGGAAAGCGTTTACAGAGAATTCATGCTGGGCAAGGATGAGACAGAGATGGATATTATTGCCAGGACCATTGACATGGGGCAGAATGGTACCAAATACTTTTTATGTATTACTTAAGTAGCCTTCCTATAATTCTGTAAGTTTGGTGTTACGGTTGCTACTTTCCAGAACAGGAAATGGCTATTCAGAGAAATTACATAATTTGACCAAATCCACCCCACAGGCACATGGAAGGTCATCATCCTGGTTGTTCTTGACTTAGCATCTGAACAAACCGTGAAATCTGAGGACCCGAGGAGCTCAGCCTTCTGCACCAATGGGACAAGGACAAGAATGGCTGCTACAGGGCCAAGTAGGGTGAGGCAGAGGTCAGCAGAGGCAGAAGGTGTGGTAGAGGCTCAACAGGGAGACCAGGGAAACCCTTCGTATCCAGGATGAAGAGAATTGAGGCCAGCAGGAGCCAAAAGGAGAGGCAATTGGCTTCTCATCACTGTGACAAAATACCTAAGAAAGTCAATTTAGAGGACAAAAGCATTGTTCTGGCTCAGGGTTTCGGTGGGCTCCGTCCATGGTCACCCAGCTCCAGGGCCTCCAAGACTGGTGAAGCAGAAACAGCTCAGCAGAAGTGGTGGTGGAAACAGCTGCTCACCTCACTGCAGCCTGGAAGCAGGGAGAGGGGGAAGGGCTGGACAGCTCCTGCCAGGGCAGCCTCCTCCTGCTGCCGGTGTTGTTCCCACTGGGCCCCACCCTTTGAAATGATGGGTCCCCCAAAGTCTGCTATTTTGCATGTCAGTCATCTCTGGAATCCCTCACACACACTCCCAAATGTGCCTCACTCATTCACTTCCTCCAGGTCTCTCCATCCAATCAAGTGGACGACCTAGATTCATGCTCACAAAGGACAGCTCCAGGAAGAGTTTCTGATTCAGCTTGGATCCAGCATAAGGCCATGAAGAAGAAAAGTGAGGGCAAAGTTATGAGAGCAATGTGGGAGAAGATACAAGGTGTCTTGGAATTTTGGAATAAATCAGAGAACTAAGAAAGTGTTCAGGGGGTTGAGAAAATGTGTAGCATAGACAAGTACACTGTCAGGAGAATTGAACAATCAGATTGGTGAGTAGATTAGTGGGGAAGGGACCGGTCAGCACTGGATGCCCTATGGGTCTCTCAGAAGATCCTCCAAAGCTGATCCAGGACAAGGCAGCTGCAGGGTGCAGCTGGGAAGCACTGTAAGATCCAACATCCAGGACTTGGACTCAGAGAGGAATCCAGAGGGCCTGAGAGGAAAGGTGTGCTTCGGGGAGGTGACCGGAAGACGTTCTAATGAGAGCCATTCTGAAGACAGAGGTGGTGGAGATGGGTTTGAGTTCCCGTGCAGTTCTCCTGAAGTGCTCAGTGGCTGATGTAAAACTGGGAGACATATGCGACCCATACTCAGGATGGAAGCTGAAGCTGAGTGTAAAGGTTTGGGGCTTCTTCTTGGAGGGGTGCACTTTAAAGCCAAAGGAGCAAAAGAATAAAATGGCTGGGAGAGTAGAGTGTTCTGAATTTGGGAACCAAGGGAATTTTTTGTCATGATGGTGGAGACCATTATGAAGCAGCTCCGAGCAGGACTTAAATTAACCAGTGGGCTTTCCATGTTTACTTTTGAGTCTGTTCAAGGCCTAGGCTGCTTGTCTGGAGATGGGTGGTGGATTCATAGTAACTGAACTTCTGTGAGTCACTGGTTCCAACTGAGGCTTGTAATGGTGAGTGAAGCTGGGACACCTCATAGACCAAGACAAGGCCACAGCTAAGGATCCCTGGCCCCCAACCTCAGTTAACTAAATAAAGACTGTAGCTGCAGGCCTCTCACTCCTCAGTGGATTAACTTAATACCTTACTTGGAGAAGTCCTTGAGCAGTTCCCGCCCTTTCTGATTATTTCTCTCCTTTGTTATGATAAGTAAATAAATATGAGCCTCCCAGTAAAGCTCTTAGTCTTAGCCCCTAGAGAATCTGGAATTCTGTGAGAGGGTTTTGATCCTCCTGGAGCCCTGAAATCATACTATTTGTCTCTTTTATTTAGTCTTTGCCATCCACTCGTTTGGGAGATTGTGGACCTCATCAATGCACAATAACTAAGGGAGAACATTAATCTGATACCATGGAGAGAAGAAGCACTTTTCTCCTATGACCAGAGGGAATGATGGAAGGGATGAGGGAAACATGTGAGAAACATTGAAGAACTCCTCCAGGGGTGACAGAGGGCTGCAGTGATGAAAACAAGAAGCCAGGCCTTCCCACAAATAGGCTTTAAAGCACAGACAGTGCTAAATGCTTGAAGGGTCGGGGAGGGGAGGGGAGGGGAGGGGAAGGGAAGGGGAGACAGCATTTCAGAACTGGAGTGGAAGTCAGATGGGGAGCAAGTCTCTGGGGATGGAGTGCCACACCGGGCTAGGAAGATGGGGTGCTCTGGGTACCCAATTTCAAAGAGGAATCTTGCACACAGAGGGAGGAGCATAAGCACCATGACTCGAAACAGGAATGCAATGCTTTAGTTACAGGGATTGGAAAGACGTTATTTCAGCAATTGTTTGCTGGGAGCAAAGCAATAGGAACTATGACCAGATGGGTTTTCGGGGGATGCCTTGGATACTAGCCTAAGATACAAATTTATTTGATAGAAAACAAGGAGATGTGAAAGGTGTTTTAACATAAAATTTCTGATTTAACATAAAATTTCTGGGCACACTTTCACTGCCATATGCTGGGACGCAGCTTAATCTACAGGACTTCAGCGACAGGGACACTGTGGTGTGGGCATTGTCCCCGTCCCTCTGACCCAGCTGAAGCACATATGCATGAAACGTGCAGGACTTGGCTGCAGAGCTGGCTCCAGTAGCCACTGGGATATTTAAGTGTGTTCTCTTCACTGTCTACACAGCCTGTCTACACTGCCACTGCCCCTGTACTTGACTCTTGACCCTGTCCCATCAGGCATGGGGCAGGAAAACAAATCAAGGTAGGAAAATGCTTCCCTTTGATGTGTGAGAGCCTGTGGTTCAGTTTGTTTAGCTTAGCTCATTATATTAAAGTACTAAAAAATAAAAGAAGTGTTATATTGGCCACTAAGATCCTGTCTGCTAAGGCTGTGTGGCCTAACTCTGGTCACATGACCTTGGAGAATTCACCTGGTCTTGGTTTCTGAGTGGGCAGAGCTGAGGGCACCCGGCAGGGGTGAAGGGAGCCTCTGCAGTGCCAGCCTGCCTGCCCCATGGCCTGTGCCTACTCCTCTGGGCAGCCACAACAGCGTCCTGCAGACAACCACACTGAAGATGCAGACTAGAAGAGCTCAGAGCCCAGGTCCCATACTTGGGTAATTTAGAGGTCTTATTTCTGCTGATAGAGCCCCCTTGGAGATGGAAAGGGCATCTGGAAACCACCACTCTGCTTGGCTACCACCCCTCATGCTGAAAGAACAACCCTCCTCTCTGTGTGTTTTCAGATGGGCCGCCATCCTGGGCCCAGCAGCTAGGGGTGTCCTCTGTGGGTGTCCTCCAGGGGCGTCCCCTTGGAAATGCAGCAGTTCTGTGGCATAAAAACCCACGTTGTGAGCTCTGACTTCAAGTGTCTTGCTCTGTGGCCCCAGGTGACTCCCTGAATAGTAATTTTCTCATCTGCACAATGGGGCTGCCCCTGCTCTGGCTCTGGGAGAAGGTGGGGATGAGCCAGTTCAAGGAGCACTCGACAGAGGAGGCCAACACGGCCTGGCCAGGGCCGTCCAACTTACGTTTCACGTACAGGCGGCCAATCACCTTCGCAGTCCCATATCGGTTGGACACCTCGCACGCGTAGCTGCCCGAGTCTGAGGGGCGGGCACTCTCGATGAGCAGCCCTGTCACTGTCTTCTGGAACCTCCCAGAGAGTTCCAAGGGTGAGTTGTCCTTCAGCCAGCGGTAGTCGGGCTCAGGGTGCCCAAGCGCTTTGCAAGGCAGCTCTACCCGCTGCCCTGCCATGGCTTTGCGGTGGTCAAACCCGTCCAGGATGGATGGGGCTGAGTTCGCTGGATCTGTGGAAGGAAGCAAAACTCTCAGAGAGTGCAACTGATGCACAAAAGGGGGTCACCGGGAATCCCAGGGCTTCGCGCATCACCTGTGCATCAAGCACCTTCTCATCAGACCTGGACAGTTTGTATGAGGCTGGGGGGGGAGCCCTAATAATACAGACTTTCTGTCCAGAGCTTGTTGAAGACCACACACCATTCAGAGGTCCTGTTTATTTGGAAATAACTGAAATGCCCAGGATCAGCAAGCATGTCTTCGGGGGCCAGATGCCTCCCCTGCTTTGGAAGAGATAGTTGTTTGATATTAGTAAAAGCTATTTCTCAGGAAAAGGGCTTTCACATAGCTGCTGGATTTGAATAAGTCTCACCTATTCATCTAAAAAAAATTTGCACTTTGCCTTTTTATTTTTCACTAATGTATTAAATGCATCTTAATGGTGTTCCATGTGCTCTTTCCATATCCACATAAGCCCTGCCCTGGCAAACCCAGCCTCCCTTTATCCGCTCTCCCTTCCACTACCTCCAGCAATCACTGTTCCACATTCAGGGAGACTTTTTTGTTTTAACTTTCACATAGGAGAGAGAACATGAGATACTTGTGGCTTCCTGTGTCTCACTTATTTCACTTAACATGGTGTCTTCTGGTTCCATGTGTGCTGCTGTAATGCCAGTATTTCATCCTTCCTTATGGCCAATAATTTGTCTATCTGACATTCTCTGTATTCACCCATCCAGTGATGGGCACAAGAACTGAGTCATTTCTTAGCTGCTGTGAATATATGGGCATGCAGGTATCTCTCTGGTCAGCTGATTTCATTGCCTTCAGATGTGCACCCAGAGCTGAGATGGATGGATCACAGGGTAGATCTATTGTTAGTCTTTTGAGGAAGCTCCCTGCTGTCCCACAACACTTATAGGAGAGTCCCCTTTTCTCTACATTCTCTCTTCCTGGAAGAAAGTATTTGCCAAGTATTCATCTCCCAGAGCAGGAGCATCCAGAATGTATGAGAACTCTGATGACAGTAGCCACCACCAAGAAGTGATCCAACAGAAAGTGGATGGATGACCCGAATAGACACTCATCAGATGAGGAAATGCGAATAGCCAGAAGACACGTAAAAAATGCTCACTGCCCTTTGCCACCAGGTAAACACCCACCAAAACTACAATGAGCACCAGAACACCCCAGGCGGTGGGGCTGTTGTCAATTACGCAGGATAAATCAGTCTGGAGAGCCAAGGTATGTACAGTGTCCATAGTTACTGACACGGTGCTGACTATTTGAATTGTAAAGACCATAGATCTTACATATTCCCAGCAGGCATACAGTAACTATGTGAGGAGAAGCGGTGGGTGGTCTTATCCTAACCGTGGTCATTCTCTCACTACATCTATCTATGTATGTACGTGTGTATCTATCTGTCAAGTTGCATGGCTTAAATATATGACTTTTATGAGCCATGTATATCTCAATAAAGCTGCAAAAAATAAAAACTCTAGTCAATGAGATGTATGAGGAGAAAAAAAAGTATGTAGAAAATGCTGCTTTGAGCAGTGATGTAGCCGAGAGGTGTGTCTCTGTCCATTCTGACCTTCTTTCTACTGCTTGGAAAACGCAAGTCATCCCCAGAGTGCCACCTCAGACTACAAGATGCCACCTCAGACTACAAGATGGCCACGGGAGTGGAGTCCTCCATGAGGATAATGGGCCAGAAAGGTACAAGCCGGTGCCTGGTTCCCCTGGAACTGCCGAGCTTGCTTCTTAAATGTCTGCGGGAAGTAAACTTTTGGATTTTAAAGCAACAACAGCAACAGGACCATCCAGAAAGACTTCTTCAAAAGGCTGTAATCACACAGTTCAGCCACTAAGGACAGTCAACAGACAAGAGCGACAGCAGCTCATGACAGATGGACACTCCTTCTGAACTCCCTAAGGATTCCCTGCTCCGTACTAGATGAGAACAGTGTGAAAGTGCTGTGGTGAGGGAACCTAACAACCTCCTGAAGAACGTGAGGCTGGGCTTCAGCAGTCCCCCCTCATGAGCAGAAGAATCCTTGTATTCACTCTTAAAGTCACTCGCATGTTTACTGTGGGGCTCTAAAGGAACACGATCACAAGAGTGTCATAGGGTTGGGTGGAGCACGCCTGCCAGCAAGCCTCACTGCTTCCTCCTCCTTACTTCAGAAGGAAATGCCAGGCAGGCTTTGGAAAGCGTTGCTTTGATGAAGAAGTTAGTTTCTTGTGGGCTGAAGTGTCAAGACGACATGGGTCTCATAAAGGACGTCTCAGTACTCCTCCTCATTCTCTGGGAAGGTGGCCTGCTGCCCACATCGTCTTACTGGAAGACTGCATACCTAGTAGGTCCCATGATCCAGGAAAAATAAGACTGTTCCTGGAGGCAGCTCCAAAAAGCACCTCAGACATGCTCAACCTCCAGTGACTTTACACCTCCCAGTGTGGAGTCTTGGGAAGAGTATAAACCCTGCGGTGTTACAGTTTGGATCTGAAACCTCCCCCCCATAGTCTTGTGATCAGAGGCAGGGCTTTTGGAAAGTGACTGGATCATGGGGACACTGTGCTCATGAGTGGATTGACCCGTTGATAGTTGAGAACTAAATGAGCTTTCATGACGTGAGGCCTGGTTGAAAGAGGTGCACTATTAGGTGTCGAGCCTTTGGAGGCTGTAGCTGCCTTCCTGGCTCTTCCTTCTCCCTCTGCATCCTGACTGCCATGAGGTGAGCAGCTGTCCTCAACCATGGCCAGACCTTTCTACTGAGATGGTTCTGCCTTGGAGCCAGCTGACCGTGGACTGAATGCCCTAAACCGTGAGTCAAATTAAACCCCGCCTCCTTTACATTGTGGGTGTGAGGCATTGTTCCCCAACAACAGAGAAGGTGATTAATAAACACGGGGATATTAGAAGTTAGTAATTAGAAATTATGAGATGTCTATATTGTGTGGAACCAGGTTCTGTAATATTAGTCTGAGAATGCTTTAATTCAGCTAAGCAACATGAGGATATAGTGACAGACTTTTGGAAAAGCACAGGTTTTAGCATGACACGGGGAGAGCAGAGCTGTTACAAAGCACTTGGAAAAGATAGTCACAAAATGTGTCACTTTGCTCAGAATAGGCAATGGGATTAGGATTACGGAAAGTAGCACAAGAAGGTGTCACCTTTGGCAGAGTGGCCAAGAGCAAGCACCCCCCTGTGTACCTCTCATTTCCTTGCAGGATAAACCCCAAATCTCAGGAAACAAAATATGCCAGCTGCTAATGGTAGTCATAAAGTGTCAATGCCTGGTGATGGTACTTAAAATTATTATTCTAGCTAAAATCAAGTAATGATAGAAAGTACTCAAATATGTTCCTTAGGAGAGTACTGCATAATCCTAATGACTTTTATAAGGAATGGGTGGGATAATGGAACACCTACACAAAAGGAAGTGTGGCGAGCCTTGCATCACAGGAGCTACAGAAATCAACCCAAAATGGACCATGAACCTAAGGGCTAATTCTGCAAAAACCATAAGCCTTTTAGAGGAAAGAAAGAGAAAAAAGTGTTTGTGTCCTTGGGTTTGGCAGGGTTCTTAGACGGCATACCTAAACATGAGACAAAAATGATATATCAAATATCACCAAAATCAAGAGCTGATCACCTTGCAAAGGCACCATCAGGAAAATAAAATGAGAAGTGACTTCTCAGTACTTGCAACTCATGTTTCTGATAAAAGGATTTGTACCCCAAATACAAAGAACCTCTGCATTTTTGTAGTAATACAAAATGTTAATCAAAAATAAGCAAAATATTTAAATAGACACATCAGCAGAGAACATACACAGATGACTAACATCATCCTGAGACACTCAGTGTCACTGGCCATTAGTCCAGTGTGGATTGGATGCACCATGAGGTATCACCCAACGTCTCTCAGCATGACTATAGCAGGTGCTGGAACGTATGGATAAATGGGATTCTCACACACTTCTGCTGGTGATATAAACTAGCCCAGCCATCATGGAAAAGAGTGTGGAGGTCCATCCAAAAATTAAAAGCAGAACTACTGCATGATCCAACAGTCCTAGTCCTGGGTAAATATCTAAAGGAAAGGAAGTCAATATATAGATCAGACGTCTGCAGCCCCGTGTGTATCATTCACCACTGCTAAGAAATGCAAACTGGAGTGTAAATGGAGACAGAAAATGTGATATATACACATCTTGGAATGTTATTCAGTCATGAAAAAGATGAGACCCCCCCCCCACTGGTGACAACATGAATGAAACTGGAGATCATTATGTTAAATGATTCATGCACAGAAAGACTAGTGTGATTTTATCTCATTCCAATGTGGACTATTGAAGATGTTGATCTTCTAGAAGTTGGGATAGAACAGTGGTTGCTGCAGGTTGGGTGAGTAGAGAGGAGAAAGGGAGGGAGAGCAATTGATCAGTGGGTACAAAGGTGAGGTTAGACAGGAGCAAGCAGCTCTGGTGTGGTACCCTGCAGCAGGGGGACTCTGGATTAGGGTAATGTACTCTATATTTGAAAAAGCTAGAAGAAAGGAATTTGAATGTTTTCACCATAAAGAAATGATCACTATTTGGGAGACATGTGCTTAACTTGATTTCAACGTTACGCAGTGTGCACAAGTATCAGATATCACAGGGCACCTGTAAGTACATACAGTTTTCCTGTTTTTGGCATCAGTTAAAAATGCAGGGCTGGGGATATAGCTCAGCAGCACAAGTGCCTGCCTGGCAAGCACAAGGTCCTGAGTTCAATTCCCAGTACCAAAGAAAAAAAAAAGACATTTCATTTCAATGAAAATCACAGTGACATATCACTTCACACCTTGTTGGAGGTGGATAATAAAAGAAGTGTTCAATGCTGATGAGGTTGTAGGCCCCCAGATCCCCATATACAGTTGGTGAACCGGATGTGAAAGGTGCTTCCAGTCAGAAAACAGACCACTTGTTCTCTAAGACCTTAAACTTCAAGGCA